TCAAAATCCAGGAAACTTGTTAGATTTTAACATATTCGAAAATAATTTGAATTTTAAAATACTTTTGAAACTCAAAAAACACAATAATATGAAGTACTTATTGTAATCTTATCACACATATAAAAAAAAACTGCTTTAACAATTTTTTTGCTTAGAAATCGCCTTGTCCCATCTCACCCCATGTCCCATCTCACCCCGTTCTCCTCTTCTTGTTATTTTATATTAACTATATATTAATTTATTATTATATTAATTATATATTAACTATATAATACATTATATCTATAATATAATACCTAAAATATCGCTTTTAATTAAGCGGGTATTAAATATAATTAGTATGGATATATACAGGGCCGTCCCGAAGAAGGAGGGGACGTCCCACCCCCAAAGCTGTCATTTAAGTATTTGAGTTGGCACATTGAGCAATTTTTGAACTGTAGTTGGCAAATTGAAAATGTTGAGGACCTTTCTTTGTTTTGTTTTGGTGTTTCTAGTTGGCAAAAAAAAACATACGCCCCCCTCTTCCTTAAAAGACCTTTTCGGGACAGCCCTGGATATATATGTTATTTATGATAGTCACAATTGATTTATTTCCAAAAATAAAATCTAAGTGACTAACGTTTACTAAACATTAGTCATTTGGATTTTATTTTTGGAAATAAATTGATTGTGACTATCATAAATAACATATATATATAAATACTAATTATATTTGATACACGCTTAATTAAATGCGATATTTTATGTATTATAATAAAGATATAATGTATTATTTAACTAATATATTATATTAAAGATAATAAAGTATTATACAGTTAATATAATGTATTATATAATGACCAATAATGTATTATATAGTTAATATATTATATTAAAGATAAGAAAGATATAATATCAAAGTTTTAACAATAAGTTTAGTTGTAACACTTCGGCTCGATAATAATGAGTCCACGGTTATTAAAGTGTGGTGCAGTACTAATGGTTAAAACTCACACAGGTCATGCCAGGAGAAGTCGTCTATACATGGATATATAAAAATGATTTTGTTTTGTTCTTTTAGAAATTTAATATGTGCCATACCAGCAGAACGCAATTCTACAAAGACAAATATACCTGGGGAAATAGTAATAACTTTGTACCTTTCAAATAGAGATGATACCGCATTTACCAATAATGAAGGTGATGGTTTCTTAACAATTTTTACTATTTCTGATTGGTTACAAATCGCGATAAAAATACCATTCATGTTAAAAAGAAATTACCCTTGAACCAATTTTTAAGAAGCGTCTCATTGATCTCACTTTGGTTTGCGGTAATACATTTATTTGTAATCGAGATGATCTAAAAAAATGAAAAATTGGTAACCAAAAGTTTCATATCTACAACTTTCATTTTTAGGTTTATTCTCTAAATAATGACTTAGATTAATTTTGGTATTTTTTTCACATCCAATGTTCACAAAATTTTCCAAACTGCGACAATATCGTTTTCCAGATTTTACTCTTGTCCAAACCATTCTCCACCTATTCCATTAACTACCCCGTTTTCCTGTGGTGTTGCAAAAAATGACCAACGAATCTCAACAAAAGCAGATGAAAATTTGAACAAATTATTCACAGCTGTTATGACATTTGAATTTTTAAATTGTGATGACGGACCAATTGTGATAAAGCGTAACAAATATTTCGATAACGACGGCATATTTATCATGAAGTAAACAATCGGATACAACGGCATAGTGTTATGCTCTTACTCTTAATTGCAGCAGTGAATATTGTTACTTGCTGATGAACCCAGTAAGTGGATTGAATTTAACTTTGCCCCATTATGGTGTAATTTTCACTGAAATCCAACTGATTTTAGAAAAATTAAAAATATAAATCGATGAATAGAATATAAACATACCAAAAAGGTTAATACAAAATTATTAAATTTTGTCATCGTACTAAAAATGAAATTACAATTTATTTGTATAACCAATTCATTGATTTTTTTAATTTTGGCAATATAAAAGAAAATATGCACTTTGTTGTTGGTTATATACACATGACGTATATAATCTGGCGATTAGATAATAAGAAAGCAAAAGAGACAATGTGTCATTGTCTCTTTTGCTTTCTTATTATCTAACGCAGTAATGCGCACCCCTCTAACAAACATCTTTATGGTCGTTAAATTTTCTGCGCATTTTCTGAGGACCATTGGTCAAAAACAAAGAGCGGTTTGTTTGAATCATCACCAAATGAGTCTATTACATTAGAAACATATTCATCAAACTTTGCCAACCCATAGTTCGCTTTACACTCTATAAACATGCAAGATTGGTTGTTTTGATCTACCAACTATGTCTTGCATAATATTACTTTTTTTTTTTTGAAGGGCATTCTTTAACAACCTGAAATTTTCATGGTATATCCAAAGGCAAATATCGTGGGAAAGATTGTTTACCAGCTTGACAAAAATGGTTGCAGATTGTAAAACTTAAATTTCCCCAATTTTAAATTAACATGCTCACTTTTAAAAAGTCAATATACTTCTTCTTTGGTCATCAGCATGTGACGAATTTGTTTTTGAAAATTGTTTACAAAAACTGAAAACCTTATTAAATAAAATGCGATTCCTATATATAAACAATGTGTCATTGTCTCTTTTGCTTTCTTATTATTAGTAACATCTTTGCGACCTGGAGTTATTCTACTGATACAGTGCGGTGTAAATTTATAACTTCACCAAAAAAACAAGATCTCACAAATAAATAAATAATTATTTTTAAATTATTCAATTGCCTAACATCTTACTTGATTAATATTTCATTTGTAGTAGAGTCTGGTTTCATTTCGTTAATTGACTTGAAAATTTTAGAAAAATGATGGTACAAAATTATAACCTCATTTAAATTTTACTCTACAAAATTTCATAATATTTTTTATTGCAATTTGAATTTATTATTAATACTTTGTTTTTTTTTTGCCATTCTGAATACTCTCAAATACTTGATTTGGCATACTTTCCAAATGTTTTCTAAGATCTGCAAGAGATATGTTCTTCTAAGCATGTACAATTGCCTTTTCAGTTCACCGACATTCGAATATTATTTCCCTTCTGCATAAACACGTCTTGCTAAAATGCCCTATACGTTTTCGTTGATACTTAAATCAGGTGAGAGCGCTGGCCATTCTAATAATTGAATTTTCATGCTGGTAAACCATAACATTTGATTTTGGAAAATAAAATTGGTGTTACCAAATTATTGCGAAATATCATTCAAATGACATTTCAACTAATTTCTATATCCTTAACATTTAATTTAGTAGTAATAAAGTCAATCGAAGTATTTCCAACGCACCCCAAATCATTATTCCTCATCCTCCCATAGCCATTCTTTTGAAAAGTATTTTCTCTTGCGAGAAGGTACAGTGGGGTGCAAAACTATAACCTCACCTGTATAGAAACCTTAAAATTATCTTTCAAAATTTGTTGATCAAATTCTATTTGTAGATCATTTTTTTAAATTAACAAAATAATTCACATGAATCTATTTACACTTTAATTAACTCAAGTTATTAAACAGTTTAAAACCGTGTTGCATTATTATAACAAATATAAAGAGTATTTGAAGGCCATAATATTTTAAAAAACGTCAAGAATAGTTCTTTAAATAACTTATTTGGCTTATTAGAACTACTTTGGTCTATTGGAAGCGCTTGGGAATAAAAGAACAAGTTAGACTTATTGGAACTACTAAATAATCAACTTATTAGAATTACTTTCTGTATTACTTTTTCTACTTTCAGTATAAATCATTCTACTTTTATTTCTTTCCAAAAAATATGGTTTTTTCCTGTGTTTTCTGAGTAATCTATATCATTATTTGTTTCTGCTTCAGTTGGATTATTTATCAATTTTGTTTATATATATATATAAATATATATATATATATATATATATATATATATATATATATATATATATATATATATATATATATATATATATATATATATATATATATATATATATATATATATATATATATATATATAAGATTGTATTTTTTTAAAACTTTTTGTTTTAATTTAATTTTCAAACAAGATAAACACTTAATTAATTTGAAAAGTATGAAAAAAAACACACACAAAAAAAAACAAGCCTCAGAACATGCTAATTTTGTAAGAAATTCAACATGCAGATACCAGAAAAAGTCAGAAGTAAAATGTAAAAATAAAAATGTAGAATATTCAGTCAGTATGTTGTCATAGACATAAGAATACTGCAATCAGTATGCTTCCATAGATAAAGAAATATTTTTATTGTAATGGTGATTGGTCAGAAGTAACAATAGTATTGGGATTTCATTCGAGTCAAAATACACTAGCAATTACAAGCTCTAGATGATTACAGAAAAGTAATTGTTGTAAATAAAAAGAAAACCTTGTATGATAGTAAATATGTATGTATTATTTAAGTTAAAGTTTATAGTACACAAGATCTTTTTTCAGTTTGCTACACGATATTTTTGTTGAATACTGATCAGCTTTATACTAGAAAGTAATTTGGTTAGATATTGAAATCGACCATCGTGTTTTTATACAAAACAGACAACTTCAAAATTAAAACCTATAAGTTTGCTGACTGTTACCATATTATATAAGTTTGCTGACTGTCACCATGTTAAAAAAATAATGACAATTAGGATGACATTTTTCCTAAGTATAATAACAATTTTACTAAACCCAGAATGGCTGCTTATGGTGCTATGTTCATATTTAGAGGGGAACTGGGTTTTAAATTTAAAACATTTGCTTTTCTAAAACCAAACCCTTAAAAATCTGAATCTCCTAACTGCTTTTTAATGCTAAAACTTTATCTGTGATATAAAGCGAACTTCAAAGTAAATACAAAGATTAGTGAAACTAAACGGAAACTAAAAGGATGTTGATCCAAATATAAATATAATACTATAATACCAAAAAAAAATTGAAAATTATTTTTTGAACCTTTTATAATTTTCAAAAGATTGCACAACTTTGTTCTGAAGATCTTTGTCTGTTGATAGCTGCTCCACTAAAAAATATACAAATTACATATAAGCAATAACGTTTAACACAATAAATAAATGAATAAAAATTTGTATGAAATAACTAGATTTTAAAAAACATTAACATAGAAGTTTGCGCCACTTCATGTAATAGCTTGGGAATAAGTGCTTTTGTGCAACCTGTGTTTCGTGTTTTGCGGTAAAAATTCTTTTATTTTATTAACAAGTTTCCTCCAGTAGTCTTAATTATTAAAATTCATAGAAGAATTGACCAATAAAGATTTTGTTCGAGCTTGTTGTTAATATTACATTAAAATTAAAAAATTTTTTTTTTTTTTAATATTTGTCCCAGTATCAATACCATTACAACTTAAAATAAATTTTTTTATTAATAACATGCTTGGGTTTATGTTTAAGCTAAAAAGTGATTTAGTCGCTCTTGGTCCAAATAATCTTCTGTAGAAATATTCACTTTATTGATCTCAAGTATCTTACAAAACACTTTATTCAAAACTACTACATTTTAAACAATTCTTTGAGACCATCTAAATTGTCAATATTTAGCAGAGGACCATAGTTTTAGAAGTCATTTCTCACATGTAAGTTAAAACAACTAACTTAATCCAAGACCTTAAATGCATTGTAAAAAAAATTACTGGAACTCGATATTAATGACAAAATCAGCTAAATTATTTTTGTACAAATTTTTTTTTATGTATATAATATATGCAAATGTTTTTTGGTTAAAGTTACAATGTTTGAGTTTTTGCTTTATTATTTTTAGTTATGTCATATTCTATTGGTCATTTTATTGAAATCAGAAATATAAAGTAAGCAACATTAACAGAGCAAGATGACAAGACTATCTTGAAGTACTTGATTAGTTAAATTAGTTAAAAAGTTTATACTTCTATCAAACCCAACATCATGAAATACTAAGACAAAATGACAAAGAGAGATGCTTTAGATTAGCTGTACAAAATTCAAAGTCATTGTGCTTTGATAATAAATCATTTTGTAATCAAATTAATTACTCTGGTTTCTAATAAGTTTTGTTTTGATATAAGACTAGTGTAAAACACAAATTTTAAAATCTTGTTTTAACTTTTCTGTTGATTAAATGGGAGTTAATATCACAACAAATATCAATGTTAATAAATAATTGCTTAAAAAATAATAATATGATTTTGTTCAATTGTCAATGAAATATTCTTTTTTAAATAAATGGAATAAACTCTAATCTATCTAAACTCTAATCTATTAATCTGTATCACAAACTATAAAGTTTACGTCAGATAAATTTATCACGCTAATGTCACTATTTAAATTACAATATTTTCACATTCATCTAACATTGTATCAAATCTTTTTATTGTCAATAAATAGTTGCTTAAAAGATAATGAGTGATTTTAAACTTTCACCTAACATCTTAATTGACAATAAGAAAACTATATAATTAAAGTTGCAACATTTTTATAACTTTAAAATTGTATAGGATAGAGTGGATTAAAATGGATAGGTGGGGTAATATGGATCTTGGGTGGATCCAGCTTTTATAATTTTTTGAGATAATTAACTTCCATGGAACAAACTTCAAACATTTATATGTTTATACTTATGTCAAATAAGGATGCTTTGCAAAAAACAGCGATGGTTGGAGCTTGGGAACAAAAATGCTCTAAAATTTTGGTCACAACTACTCAAACGTGAGAGCAACAATTTGACAAAATATTTTTTTCAAAGTATTCTTAACTAAAGTTTTCATCCATAAATTTTAAATTTCATAGTATAATCTCTCAACGTTCAAAAATTATGAGCACATAAAATTTAAATCCCCCTCAATTTGAGGGGTTTGCAAAGTTTATACAGTCATAACTTTGAATGTTAAAAGATTGTTGTATAAAATTCAAAATTTATCAATAAATATAACTTTAGTTAAAAATAGTATAAAAAATATTTTGTCAACTTGTTGCTCTCATGTTCGGGGTAGTTGTGGACAAAATTTTAGGGCTTTTTTGTTCCTAGGCTCCAATCATCGCAATTTTTTGCAAAACATCCTTATTTGAAATACGTATAAACATATAAATGTTTTATATATGCTCCATGTTAGCTCAAACATTAAAAAATGCTGGATCCGCCCCTGTGGATATGTTTAATTAGCTTGCATGGAACAAGTTATCTTTTCACAATGCTAATTTCCGAAATATACCAACTGTTTACAAATAATTCTTTTATTTTCTTTTTTTTTTCTATTCCTTTAACAATGTCTCTTTCTGTTTTAAATTAATTTAAAACAAATAGAAACATTGATGTTAATCAATAAAATATTTATTAGAAAATATAAAAATTTTTATGATTAAAACATTTGTTTGCTGACTTCAGCAATATTACTTAAATAATGATCATGATGTAAGTTTATTATTAAGACAATGATGCCACCCATATTAAAAAAAAAGAATTATCTATTATTATTGATTATCAACGCAAGACAATTGATAAATATAGTTACAGTAAACTAATGACTGCAATATAACTTGTTGAAACAGGCGACTCAGTACACAATGTATCAAACACATGATTCAGTCCAAAGTCTTCTGAAATTCCATATGGGAAAACATACAGAAAAACCCACAATCAAATTCAAAGGATTAAAAAAAGAATGGGAAATGGGAATGGTTGTGGTTTTTTTTAAGTATTCAAAAGGAAAAACTTTTAATAAGAGCCCTGAAGTACTTAGCCGATAGGAGTTTCCTAAAAGATAGAGAAGATATTAAACTGATGATAAAATTCTATTTAATTCTACATTAACTGGTAAAAATACTCCTTTTAAAGATATCATACCAGGAAAAGACTGGTGTATATCTTTTGAAAAAAGATGGAATGTAGTTCTTTGAAAAAAAAGACCTCAACTTTTAATAAAAACTTTAATTACTGATCTATCTCTGAACCAGAAAATGCAATGTAAGGTGTAACCAAATCAGGTTGGATGGAGAACTTTTTGAAAGTTGGGTTGACAGTTTTATTATATGTGTTAAGGATTTAAAAAAGCTTATTTTACTCCTATGTGATAGGAATAATAGACAATTCACTAATTCTATTATTAAAAAAGAGGCGGAGAGGGTGAATAAAAGGTTTTGTTACTTTAAAAAAGTTCTCAGCAACATCCAGTACCCCATTATACTATTAAAAAGCAACTAAAAACTAAACATTTGATCTTTCAAATAATAATTTGAGAATAATGTTTTGCAAATAGAGAACTTTTTAAATTATGGTTTTTATCTGTTAAAGTTTTTTACTTTTTTTATAGTTTTATTATTAGTATCTTTTAACTTATTTAGTGGTTGGTCAATGACCTTTTGCAAACTTGAAGCATCAATGTTGGAAGCAGAGTTTATTACAGCTATTTAAAAAAATTAATATAAAGTATCAAAAATCTTTAATAAAAATTTGCTTAAAACTTTGCTTTCCCTATAATTAAACAATAATAATGATAATAAAAAATATATTCTAGCATACTTAAAAAATCTGCAGGATTCCAGTTCAAATGGGACGGCATTCCAATTGACTCAAAAAACAATAAAACCTCTGAAGTTTTTCCATAAAATGCAACCTATATCAAATTTATTGCAATATTACCAACATAATGATAATAAATTTAGAGTCGCAGATTGTTATGTAAAAACTACAAACCTTTCCATTACACAATAGCAACAGTTTATCGAACATATGAAACACTTGACTAGAAGGCTGGTGAATAGTCATACATATTGCTCTATTTTGCTGCTTTGCAAGAGCTTTAAGTGTATTTATAAGACTGAAAGCTGATGAGGAATCTAATCCTGTAGTTGGCTCCTAAATTAGAGTATTAATATTAGTATTGTTATTATTCTTCTTATTATTATTGTTAATAATTTTAATATTATTATTATTATTACTATTATTATCATTATTATTAGTAGGTAGTAGGTAGTAGTAGTAGTAGTAGTAGTAGTAGTAGTAGTAGTAGTAGTAGTAGTAGTAGTAGTAGTAGTAGTAGTAGTAGTAGTAGTAGTAGTAGTAGTAGTAGTAGTAGTAGTAGTAGTAGTAGTAGTAGTAGTAAAAACATACATCCATAACTATGCAAGCAGGATTGCTGATAAGTTCAACTCCAATGCTACAACGCTTTTTCTCACCTTTAAAAATGTTAAAAAATACTTAGATTTTTAATTTGCAAACTAATAATATCAATTTCTTCAATATCTATTAAAAAGAATATATTAATAGAAAAAATTGACCTCCTGAACAACCACGTGCAAAAAGCCCACCACCCATCTCTGCAAAAAATAGAAAATATTTAAAAGTTTATTTCTCTAAAAAATAATACAGCTTTAAACCTCAAACTTCAAACATAAAACTATGATCTACACTATCAATTAAAAAACCTTTTTTCTAAACAAAAATATTACATAGTTATAGCGTTTAAAACTTTAAAAATATGACAAATAGTTGTAATTTGTACAACTACAATTCTACTTGCTAATTTATCTTTAAAAAAACTTGAAGAAAATAAATAAATAAAAAAAGCTTTGTGTGACAACAGCAGTGTTAGTTAAAAATTTAAATATTGTTAGTTTACTTTTTACAAATTATAAGTTTCTTAACAAAGGTCGAACATAACATAAACTTTATCATTAAAATGTTGTTCAAGCATTTGGCGAATGACTGCTACGATTTTAAGTGCATTTTTTAACATTCTTATGAGAAATTTAAATGTCATCTACAAAAAGATGTTTATTTTCCTAAACGATAAAAAAAAAGTAATAATAACAATAATAGTAATGATTATGTTAATTTACGTTTAAGGTAGGTTGTTTATGTATATTAAGTTATATTAAATTACCCATAAGTTTATGCTTAAGTTATAAATTTTTGAAGTTAGATTAAAACAATATATTAAAGTAAAATGATATTTGATGTAACAAACTTAAAGACATATAAAAATATGTTTGTGATTTATTCGTTTGTTAAATCAAAATTTTGTTAAAAATATAAAACGATATAGGGGCAGATTCAGAGGGGAAGGGGTGAGGCATATTTCAGATTTTTTTCAGCAACCCCATAAATCATATAACTTTTTAGCTAATTTTTATTTGAATATCGGAAATTGTTTGGGTGTTATTGGCAAATTTTTTGATTTTTTTTTAATGCTTCTAAAAAAAAAATTTATTATAAAAAAAATGTTAATTTGTAATTTTACTTTGCAAAACACAATAGGTTGAGAGACATGACGCTTTGCTAACGTTTAGAGTTTAGATTCCACAAAAATTGATGCGGTGGAAAAATTATATACAAAAGGAATGACAGAACATTTTCATCAAAAGCAAATTTTATTATTATGAAATAGAGAAAGTGATTTTATTGCGTCTTTAGGTGCTGTACATTTGTCCTCTCTAACAAGTGTTCGCAGTTAATTGCTAACAAGTGTTCTCAGTTAATTGCTTCAAAAAAAAAATTCCACTTATACTGGACATAAACAAAATATTTTCATATGAAAAATTTTGATTTTTTCAAATCTATACTTTGATGTCAAAAAAATTTATAATATAATATAATATTGTTAAAACTGTTTCTACAATCAGTAATATCTATGACGTCATTCTTGTTTTTTTGTATCCAAAACTAATTATCTGCACCTGAATTTTATTTGGTAGTGGTGTAGTGGTAGTGGTGTAGTAACGCGCTCAATTTTTTTCTCTGCGCAGCGGCCTTGTTGGTCAATGTTCATGTTTCGGAGTTATAGAGTTGAAAGAGGGTTATAACCACAATTAAGTAGCCTACTCGTCTGTAGTGGATTTCATAGCTTTGGGGAGGTGAATTAACAAAAAAAATTTACATTGGAAGTTAAACTATGGCAGTACAAATGTATATGGATGAAGGAGAAGGGAGGAATTACATTACTGCCTACTTTCTTTAGTTTTTGATTTGTGTAGCCAGATGCAATATCCAATTACTCGCACGTTGTTTTAAATTACTAAATTATATCCTCTAAGTGTTGTCAGTGCTAAACGTAGCTTTTCAGCTCTTCAATTTAAAATTAACTAAAAACACAAAGGACAGAAATCAGACAAGTCAGATTGGTCTTTAATACGTACAGAATAACTCCGGTAAATTTTGAAAGTCTGATTGACCGTTTTGCAAAGTCAGCAAACTGTAAATTAGAGTTTGTAATGTAAGTTAATAAAATAATCAACAAATCAAGGTTTTAAATACGTATTTAGTTAGATAACTAAACTCTTTAATTTTTGTCAAACAGTTGTGTTTCAATAAAATTAAATTAATTTTAGGTATTTTAATATTTTAGGAAGCATAGTATGCTTTTTTTCATAAAAGAATACAAACACCAAGTACTAGTCACAAAAAATTTTTTTCCAATTCGTGTAAGGGGGCAATCGCCCCGATGCCCCTCCTATGGATCCGCCCTTGAATGATAACTGCCTTAATAATTACAACAGCAAAGGTATAAAACTGTAAAGCTCTAATTTTTTGTTAAAATAATAACACTGGTTCTTTCCTATTAAGGATGACATGATACCTGTGTTTTCGCATTTCGAAAGTCCAAGGTTTTCAATTACGATGTCAACTAGAGCTTTCTTTTGACTCCACTTCATGTCCTCTGGAAGTCTGATTTTGCCAATAAACTTAAAAAGATTATAATTATACATAATTACATAAATACTTATAAAAAAAACATAACTTTATTTTATCAATTTATAGCATAAATTAAACTATATCAATAAATCAAAAAAAATCTACTAGTGTATTACACAAAGTAATTTTTTTTTTCAAAAACGTCAAAAAAGTTTTTGCCCGCTGTAAATTTTTATTTTTTAATTATTACCTTTTATTGCTAATTCAAAAATGTTATTGTTTTTTCTGAATCAACAGCTTTTTCAAAGTAGAAAAGTTTTTAGCGCCTACGACAACCGAGTGCCACAAACATCGTTAGTGTCGCACAAAACATGTCATTGAAGATTGTTAGTGTGCAGCCTAAGCTTGTTTAGGAAAAAAAAGTAATGGGTTCTCTCGCAGCCTAAGCTTGTTTAGGAAAAAAAAGTAATGGGTTGCAAAACAGATAGTTATTTATGTTGTAATTAATGCTATCTGACAAGTACATTGTGTAAGAATAAAGGCTACTACTACTACTACTACTACTACTACTACTACTACTACTACTACTACTACTACTACTACTACTACTACTACTACTACTACTACTACTACTACTACTACTACTACTACTACTACTACTACTACTACTACTACTTCTACTACTACTACTACTACTACTACTACTACTACTACTACTACTACTACTACTACTACTACTACTACTACTACTACTACTACTACTACTACTACTACTACTACTACTACTACTACTACTACTACTACTACTACTACTACTACTACTACTACTACTACTACTACCAAGCACTAAGTGTGTGCTACCTCGCATATATATACTCCTAATACGTTAGGAGCCTTTATTCGCTGCGAACCACCCTTCTGCTTTTGTATAATTGATATTACAAAGCATAGAAAAGTAAAAACGAGACAGATTGATGCTTACTATGAATTGTGTAAAGATTTATGTTACTGTAAAGATGTGAATGGTCTGTTCACTTCTCTTCGACTTGAGCATGGTCCTGCACAATGGCAGTTGTTTATAGATAGCTCAACAAGGAGAATAGGGTGTTTGTGGTGTTATCAAGATGTTTGCTTTTATGATTAGCTTGCAGTGGCGACACACAAAGTATTCATTTTTTCTTTGTTATTGGGATCATTACAATAAAGTTAATTGGCCTCCACAAGTGGAACTATAGCCAGGGTTGTTAAATGTTCTGAGTATTGGCCTTGTAAAGATCAAAGGTGGCGTATTTGTTGAATTTCAGATAAGTACAATGTTGAATATATTCATATATACAATAACTCTTATCTTTATAATATTGGAATAGATTGATACAATATACTTGGATAAAAAATTTTTTTTCATACAGCAAGAAAACATAAAGCTACCCAACAAACTCTCTATAACGGAATTTCACTGGACCTATTTAGGCATTTTGAGCATACCTCAGTAGTTTTGCTCATCGGTTACTTGGTGGATCATTAGTGGCAGCCACCAAAAGTAGATAGCTGATAACTAACCACTATCAACATGCTGAAAATTTATAGCGGGTACCACTAGTGGTCCACTAAATAACTGATGAGCAAACCTTATAATATAATATATAAAAAAATGTTTGCTCGTTACGCATACAAAAAATATCGGTTTTACATAAAAACGAATGTGATTTTTGAATTCAATTGTAAAAAATGCATTAACAAAGAATAAAAAATACAAGGTAAATTTTATTTAAATCATACTCGAGATTCTCCATAATAAGCAGTGTTATGCAAAACATCATCTCTTGAAAAATCGCTTATTTTTTTCTAACAAAATAAGTTTGTTCTGCTTTTATTCTTTGATTTATATAAAATTTTTGTGATACAAATTTCTGCAGCAAAAAACTTTATTCTATTTACATTTGCATATAATTGAATTCAAAAAAATATTTGTGTATAAGTGAGTTCAAAACGTAACAAAAAGTTGACTAGTTATAAAAATAAGGGTTGCTAAAAATAGTTCAACCATAAAACAAACCAAAAAGTTTACAAAGATGAAATGTATATTCGGGTGTCCCAGAAACAAAATTTTTTTCCCCCAAGGATACCTATCAGGTTTTTCCCATTCCCTGAAGTCCCTTGAGGTTAAAAACCAACTGGAAAAAAAAAGATCAATAGTCAAAAAAACTACATCAATTTGGGATAAGTTAGTAAGGAAATTTTTTCTCATCTTTTTTTTTTTAATAATTAACTTATTGATTATGTCTAAGTTAAATAATATTGTTATACTGAAGCATGTTTTTATAAGCATACTTATTTTTGAAACAAGCTTGGGTTCCAAATGCTATGAGATTCACAAACATGCTTAAACTTCTGATATATATACATTTTTGTTTTGCACGAAAAAAATACTATAACTTTATTTAATGATTTTCATGCATCAAATAAGCTTAAAAATACCAGTATTAATAGATTTCTGCTTATATTACGCAAAACATGTGTAATTTAGAGTTAAGCTCTACAATATACATATTGTTTGCTTGTTTTATTTTAAACAAAATCTGAACATTGAAATGTTTATAAGCATTATATTATTAAAAAAAGCATACCAACTTAAGTCGCTGAGGGTCAATTAAAAAGGTAAATTTAATTACTCAGTTTTGGTCACACGGGTTTTAAATTTTTGAGACAGTAAAATGAATAATAAATGAATAATAATAACTATAATAATAATAAATGATTGCATGTTATATAATTTAATGTTTCATAGTATTTCCTAAAATGAGTCGTCTTTGCTAGAAAGCCACAAATAAAGGAGAAAAAAGAAAGATACAGACAAACACAAAAGACTAGTTTCTTCTAAAGTATCCTGTCTATCAGTTGCCCAGGAAACAGCTGCCAAGATCTTTAAAGTTTAAATCAAAAATTTCAAGGCAAAGATCTTACCTGCAACAGTGGATTATGTAAAGACCCCAATCTTAGATGTGTCATTGCTTTTGCAATGGATGTGTGGAACAAGGCTAGTTTTAGAAAACTCATTATTTCTGGAGCTGCTGCCAGATAACAAATGTAATTTTTAACTCAGCAGAAAAAAAGTTACATACAAACCTAAATAAAAAAAGTAGCTATACATTGGTAACTAATTATATTAAAAAATGTTTTTTTTGTATTATTAAGGAATAAGATTCTCAAGCTCCATGCTAAATATTGCAAACTCATCCATCTAAGAAATCTAAACTAGGATTCCAGCATTGGTAGATTTACTAAGATGCAGGAAAATTTCATACAGGAGAGTAACAAACTCTTTGATATATTTGTGGAGAAGTTTGAGGAGAAGATCCAATCAGATCAACATCGTTCTCAGAAGGCCAAGGCAGAGGATGTTCTGTTTTTTTTTTTACTAGAAAGAGGGTAGAAAGATGTACTTTACAACAGAGGTAGACAAAGAATATGAAATATTTGTTAAAAACACACAGGATCAGTTGCGGAAAATAAAAAACATAAAAAAATACAGAAGTGGAGAAAGGACAAAAGAAAAAGGACCTGGATCAAAGTGAGGTTTCTTTGGATTCTGATGCTGGTTTCTCGGCATCAGACTTAGATGTATTTTTCACTGATAAAAATTCCGTCGATGAATTAATTAACAATTCTGATTCTACAGTAAAAGCCAAGGTAAACAAATGATAATTAGAAGATACAAAGTTGGTTTAATAATTTTGAGTAAACTAAATTAAAATTCTATTAGAGTAGAAATATCATTATTATTTATTGTTTAGATAATGATAAATTTTAGTCCCGAGGATCTGGTAGATTGTATTTCTGAAGTATTTGCTCAGTAAGGGTTGAGATCCGACCTCGCAATCATTGCAACAAATTATTGCAAATAATGCAAACTAATTAAAATTAATTAATGCAAATTAAATAATGCAAATTAATGCAAATAATTGCAAACTATTGCAAATAATAAAAAAAATATGCAACAAATTATTGCAATATGCAATAAATCATTGCAATATGCAATAAATCAGGTGTGAATTAAAAGTTATACAAGAAGATTTAAAATACAAGACCTTGGTAAGAACTAAAAATACCTACCTTGGTAAGAACTATTAGTAGAAAAAAAACTAGGATAAATAAAGATTTAATTACATAAGTGATAAAATTGTTTTGATTATTAGGAGACAAGATATAATGGAAACTTTAAAGATAAAAAGACTTGTCCTGCACTTCGACAGCAAAAAGATCAAAAAAATTGAGGAAAATTTGCATATTACTGTTACTCTTGAAAGAATATTTGTTAGTGTTAGTTCACCAGATATTAATAACACAAATATTATCCTTCTTGGAGTAGTTCAAGCTAAAAGATCTAAAAAAGTTGACCAGGCAGATGCAATCTTAGATATCATAGAGTATTACAAAATTGTTGATTAGATCTTCGTCCTATGTTGTGATACCTCTTCAGTATTTTCAACACAAATACTCCAGTGTTTAAAACACTGGAGTATTTGTTAGCGGCATTACTGTTCTCACAAATATTCTTAACATCCTTTTTCTCAGGTTTCTCTGCAGGCGACACATTTTGAAGTTACACATCTCTTATTTTATGGAAGCTCTCACTGGAGAGAAAGCAAAAGGTTCCAGGAGAGAACTATATATAAGATTGCAGAAAGCCTAGCCTAGCGTCAAGGAAGACGTGGTAAAATGGAGGAAATCATTAGGTTTGATTGGAATGAGCTTCAGTTTCGATCATCCCTGTATAACATTATAAGAGTGGCCTCATAATATTACAAAATTGCATTGACCACAAAGATATTTAACAGAGGAGACTACAAGAAGGTCTGTGAACTAATTGTCTTCTATTTAGGTAAAGATATACCAGGGTTTCATTTTTATTAAACTGGAGCCTGTCATCAATTTAGGTATAGTTAAAGCATATTAAAAATAACTTTTATTTTTAGTTTAGATGCTCTTTACCTGCTAAACCTGAGGATGAATGAGAAGGTAGCCTATGTAATGAATGAAGAAAAGAAGATGGTAAAAACAGCTGCATTATTTGTCTATTTATATTATGGATCCTGGTTTTTAAAAGCCTATATGACAAACAAGTCAACTTCAAATGACTTAACTGCTTTCATGCTTTCATCATTCGAAATAAGGGACTATTACCCAAAACTAGGACAGGTTTTTCTTTCCAGCATGCAGCGGCATGCATGGTATTTAACAGAACAGTTATATATATTGGCCTTAGCTGACAATAATGTTAGAGAGAAGGTAAAAAAGAAGTTGTAGATCAAGTGTGATATCCCCATGCAGATTTATATGGGTAAAACCGAAGCTTCCGGTTATTACGAGGTAGAGAAGGGAGATGCCCGTGAGAGGTTTGATTTATTGAGAAAACTTTTAAAGTTGATTGTATGTGTCAGTGACTGCGCGGAAAGGAATATCAGACTGATCCAGGACTTAGTTGGAGGCTACAGGTTGGATGACATAAAACAGATTCTCATGATTGTTGCCAAAGACAACAGAAAGAAACTAAAGAAGGACTTGACAAAGAATCAATTCAAAAATGTTTTATTTTTAAACTGTAAATATATACTTTGAAGAGAGTTCCTAAAATACATGTTTTTTTCCTGAGCAAGACATTTTTTTAAAAAAATGAAGTTTTACATATATATATATATATATATACACTTATAAATAAGCAAAAATGCTTTTTTAGTTTTTTTTAACCTATTTGTAAACTGTATTATATAATAATACACCCTAATCTATATTGTATTATATATTAATGATACGTATATTATAATGTAATGTAAAATGTATATTATATTATATATTAATAATATCTATATTTAAATTGTCTTAAATAATTATTTAAAATAAAATTACAAAAATATAATTTACAAACCGATGAAATGTTTTGTAAAACTTATCTAATCATTTTTTCTTTTTTATTTCCTAGTTCTTCTTTTCATTTTCTAATTAAAAAATATCAAAAATTAAGGCTTAGCGATGAAAGATTTTTTTTGCTAAATTTTTTTTTAATTTGGTAAAAAATTTAAACCCTCGGTTCAGCTTTATTTAATTTAGTTTGAATTTCGGTTCGGTCTCATTCAAAACAAAGCATTTTGGAGATCATGTATTTAATATACCTGTAACATATTTTCAACAAACAAAGCTAATATTTAACTGTTTTTTTATTTCTTTAATAAATCTTGCAATGCAATTTAAAAGAATTCTCTAGCCAAGTTCTGCGATTTTTTGACAGATCCCCAAAGTAGCATGTTACCCAGCATTATTATGATAAAATATAACATCCTTCCAATTGACTATTGCTGGCGTCATTTTTTTGGTCTACCGTCTTTAAATATCCAGTGCTGACAATACATCTCTTCATTGAGCTTTCCGTTTGGTTTTAAAAGCTTATAATGTATTGATCTTCGATTTTCCCTGCATTTACAAAATATTTTCTGATTCAGAATCAAATTTGGTTTAAAGTTGGAAAAGCTAGGTTTTCCGGATTCACAAACCATCTTTTTCCTTACAAAGTTGTTGTTGTTAAACCATTTTTTATCCCTGTCATCATTCTGTTTCAAAAAGGCTCTATTTTGTTACGAGTAAGCAGGGATATGCTTATGATAACTCGATCATCAAATTTTTCGACTTATTTCATCCGGCACCCATCAGAAAGCGTCTTGCTTCAACATAGAAACATCGTTGTCAATTAAAGATAGCAGTCTAGAAGGTGGCTAATTAGAAAAGTTAAAGTTATTTGTTTCAAGCCTAAATAATTATTAATGTGTTTGTTTGTTCTTAATTAGTAAAAAATAGATTATATTTACCTATCATAAAAAAAACGTATGCATTTAAAAGTTCGTTAAAATATGGTAAATATGGTTGCTTGTGGATAAAATTGCGGCCGTGTAGCAGTGGCTAGAGCGCCTGCTTTATAAGCAGGAGATCCAAGTTTGAAACGAGCTCAAAATCTTCTGTTACTTCCTGATTAAATGCACTTTCGTGGTGCTCTGTGACAAGACCGTTAGGTCTGCTTGGAAAAAAAAATGCAATTATTAGAGTGATTTGTACCAATACTGAAAACTTTTGAGGAAGTAAAAAAAGTTATTTTAAAGATATCAAAAAATAAATCTTTATTTAATTGTTTGAATTAATATTTTCGGTTCTAAACTTTTTATTGTTCTTCAAATTACATATTCAAGTATTATACAAAACTAAAAACTAAAAAAAGTCAAAGATGTTTACTAATATTTTTAACGATAAACAGACAACAAAACTTATCCAAAAACAGACAACTAAAAATTATCCAAAAAATTATATTTTTCTATTCTGAGGATGCGCTGCTCCAGTTTAAGGACGTAAAGTGTTTCAGTAATTAAAAAAATGTTGTTTTTTTATGATCAACGCTAGAATATAGACATAGAAGATAAACGCTGTATAAAATGGACTTTACAAAGAAACATTAGAAAGTATCAATTATGATTTAATAACTACTTTATCCTATAGTTTTCAAGATGAAATTAATATTCAAAATATTAAATAGTATATATCAAAAATTGTTGTTACCACCTTAATATTACCTCTAAAGACTGCCGCACAGTAAGATGACTAAAGAATATGTCTTCTTGCATAACGTATCCAATTTTTCTTCGGAGTAATTTGGAGGCACTTTTCCCATTTATTTCAATTGAACCACTGTTTAAAAAGATTCCTTTTGTTTTTCTTCCAACAAGCAAGTTCAAAAGTGTAGACTTTCCAGCTCCTATTTTAAATATCTTATTTTTGTTAAACAAATCATTACTGCTATTGTCTGTAAAAATATAAGAACATAAGTTACACTCAATACATTTATCTATATCTTATTAATGATATTGCAACATTATATGAGCAAAATTTTTTAGGTAAGATAAAACATTTTTTTAAATTATGTAAAGGTAGGCTAAGTTGCCGCAATTGATTTTAAATTTAGCATACTAATAACATTGATTAAAACACAATGTTGAAACAGAGTGTGTCATGACCTGCCTAAATGTTGAAACAGAGTGTGCCATGACCTGCCTAAGTGTTGAAACAGAGTGTGTCATGACCTGCCTAAGTGTTGAAACAGAGTGTGTCATGACCTGCCTAAGTGTTGAAACAGAGTGTGACTATGACTTGCCTAAATGGATTTTAAAGTAAACTTTTATTTGGCTTTAAATGTGAAAAAATTAAAAAAATTTCAAATAAGTATTGCAATACCATACCGTTACTATAAATTTATTTTTGAATTATATTTTAAATAAACTGATTAAATTAGAGGTAAGAATTTCAAAGGAATGTTGTTAAAAAATACTTTGAAGTTATCAGACTACCTGATGGTCCCATAATCGCCAAAACTTCACCAGGCAATATTTCACCAGATACATTGTGTAATATGTTTTTTCCGTTTACGGTAACGTTCAAATCCTTAAAGGTCATATGAAAATGTTCTTTGCTGCTGATCCCAGCGTTTAATAGTTTCATAGAATTTATTGACATACTTGTTTTAAGTGATTCTTCGTCCTGAAACTTATGGTAGATAGGATGATCGCCAATATTTCTATTCATTTTGGTCCTATTTTAAAACGTTTTTGTGAATATAAACATATATATATATATATATATATATATATATATATATATATATATATATATATATATATATATATATATATATATATATATATATATATATATATATATATATATATATATATATATATATATATATATATATATATATATATATATAAATATATAAAGACAAACACACATACTGTACAGCCCATTAATTTATTTGCGCTTACGTATCTTAAATTCAAGGCATCTTAAAGATAAAAAAATTAGTCGATACAAACAAAATAACGCCGACATAAGTTTAATTATGCGGTAAGATATTTTAATAGTACGCCAACACTAATTTAGAAGTACAGTGAAATGATAGCCTTTTCATAAAATAAACATTAAATTTATTTATTGTTGAAGATAGAATTGTGTCATACAATACCACCCTAGTCTTTATAAGCATTTATGACTGTTCGTTGTAAAATAATTCAATTCTTTTAAATCAAAAAATCTTAGGGTTTACTCTCACCATAAAATATTTTTCAATAAAGACGGTTGTGCAAAAAAAAAATATTGAAAAAAGAGTGGAAGTTTATACTTTAAACTGTTTAAACTTTTCAAATCCAAGTATTGCACAACTTGTTGGCATATCAGAGTATTGTGTGTAATAAACAATTAAAAGAAAGAAAGAAATTGGATTGTTTTCTACAGCAAACTGACAGATCCGGAAGATCTCGTTTTACCACAAGAAAGGAACTGGTACATAGTTTTGAGTTCTATGCTAAATTGGCGGCAAACAGAACCAGAATACGCCATTGATTTCAAAGAAAACAATATAACAAAAATTAGCGATACAAAGGTTAAACAATGTTTGCTAGATGTCGGTCTCAGAGGTTATGCAGCAAGAAAAAAAACATGTCTGACTAAAGTTCATAGACATAAACAATTGAATTGGGCTTAAAATATTGAACAACTGGTGATTGGAATAATGTTCTTTGGTTGGATAAATCAATGTTTTCAACAATAAACATTTGTCCATTGTTTATTGCCGATCTGAAGAATTGATACTGGATGGTTGCATACTGCAAATGGTTAAACATGGGTGTGGCAAGATTATGGTTTGGGGTTGTTTTGGAGGTAGCCAAGTCGATAAAGTTATAATAATTGACAAAAAATATCTTTTTGCATTTTTGGATGAACATGTTTTATTTTGTGAAAAAAACTTATGGTGAAGGACTTTTCTAACAAGACAATGATTCAAAACATACAGCTAAAGTCGTGAAAGAATATTTACGGCTAAAATCTAATGACAGAGCACTACAGTTAATGGCTTGGCTACCTCAAAGTTCTTATTGCAATCCCATTGAACTACTTTGGGATCATCAAGACTAGAGAGGTGCAAAAAAACCCTCCAAAAGATAAAAAAGACATACGGACATCATCTCAAAATATTTTGTATGCTTTTGATGGCCAATATTTACAACTGTTGTGTAACAGATTGCCTAGGATTTCCCTAGCTATCATGAAGCCTAGAGGCGGTCGTTTAAAAATGAAATTTAGTTTAAAGAACTTGATTTTGAGTAGTAATTTATAGTTTGTTTTTTTATAGAGAAATAGAGTTAAAAACAAATTAAATTAAGAAGGTTAATAGTTTTTGTAATTGTTGCCTTTTTTTAAAATCCAAGTTTATTATAAAATTTAACTCTTCGCTAAGTGCGATTAAACTGATGGACGTTAGTGTGCATATATATATATATATATATATATATATATATATATATATATATATATATATATATATATATATATATATATATATATATATATATATATATATATATATATATATATATATAATAGGGTAGGTCAATTTTTCACTTTTTTTTTAAATATATATATATATATATATATATATATATATATATATATATATATATATATATATATATATATATATATATATATATATATATATATATATATATATTTATATATATATATATATATATATATATATTTATATATATATATATATATATATATATATATATATATATATATATATATATATATATATATATATATATATATATATATATATATATATATATATTATATATACATATATATATATATATATATATATATATATATATATATATATATATATATATATATATATATATATATATATATATATATATATATATATATAATAGGGTAGGTCAATTTTTCACTTTTTTTTTAATTTCGTAACGGCTAAGGTACTGAAAGGTGTATTTATATATATGAAACAAAAAATGAAAAGTTAAAAGTATTCAGTCAAACGGCGGCTTGCGGATTAGCGATCAAAATTTAACACCATCATCAACATTTGGTATAAAAATATTAACTTTTTGCTTGTGGTTTCATATTTTTCAATACGTTCACATTAAATTTTATTCTAAAAGAGTTTGACACACCAAGGAAAAACTCAAATATTGTACTTAAATTTATTGATACGGTTTATCTTTTCGTTTTATTATGCAAAAATGTCACAAGTCCAATTCATATTTAAGTATAAATTTTTTTTTATTGAGTTACATAGATTATCGAATTAAATGCTAATTAAAATTCAATAAATAATCATTGTTAGTTTAATAAGTTATTTAAAAAGCAATAATAACCTAAATAAAAGTTATTCAAGCATGTAACAAGCAAGTAAAGCAAATAAATTATCATGCGACTAAGAATAATGTCCTTTTGAGATAAACCTTTGACGCATTTTTCTGCTAAGTAGTTTTGTTAGTATAGTTTTATGCCTGGCTTCAAATCCCTATACTGTGTTAGAAGCTTCAGAAACTAATTTGACACACCTCTCAACGCTCTGAAAAATGAGAGGGGAGCAATATTAGGCTTTATTTTATTTTTAATGAATGTGTAAATATCTTCATCAGAAAAATCTTTTGTAGTTGGTGGCTCCATTTCGATATAAGCAAGAATAGCAATATCAATAAGAGATATCCAGCTCGTAGCATTCCAATTTATTTGAGGAATTTTCTTTTCTATTCCATAACTGCTTTTGTTTCTGAAAATAAAAATATTGTTACTTTCAAAAAACTTGCTAAAAATAAAAAAAAAATGATTATACTTAATTGAAACTTAATTAGCACAATACACTTTTTAAAAAAGCTTTATATACAGATGCCTGATAAATTATAAAGAGGAAAACTAATTTTTAAAAGTTTACTGTTTTCTGAGGGTGAGTATTGTCTTAAATTCAAGAGTTCTGATCTGCTCATCATTATTTTTAACCATTGCGTAGAGAAAATTTGCAGGTATCAAAAAGAAAGCATTACCTTGAATGTTTTTTTACAATCTTCTTTACATCATCAAACTTAATAAGATTCAATTGATTAATAGTGAAAAACAGAATCTGGGGAGAATCTTGCAGTTTGAAAGATTTCTTTATTTGAAACCATAATGGAGCATAAACTTTAACAATATAATGGGTAAGCTTTTTCAGACTTGCGTTTGGAGAAACATCTCGAGTGTATAAACAAAGAATTCGTATAGAAAACCATCAAACATGATTCAGTGGACCTATTTTACAATTAGCCCATTTGTCGTCTACTTTACCTAATCCAATACCTTTACAATACTCGTAAAGAAGCCTTTGATCATGACTAATATCTTTTAATATCTCATATGAAATAAATCCTTCAGTGATCAGAAGTTTCAATTGCTTCAAACTCTACTTGAGGTTGTCTATGAATTTCTTCAGAGCATCTATTCCCAATTAGTCCACTAAAATTTTGTGGACCGGTTGTTTTTCCATCTAACTTTTAAAAAAGGGCTTTCAGTGGGAGTTCATTCTGATGAAAACTGCAGCCTACAGTGTGAAGTTTTCTTCCTATCAACTCTTCTAGATTAACCACCAAGCCACTCCTCCAACCTGTTTTTGATGCAGTATTGTCTAAAAGAATAGCACAGATGCTCTCCAGGCTGTCATATTCTTCAGGTCACTAAATGTCTCAAGAGCAAGAACATCCCCAGTTGCACCAACAACGGGTATTGTTCTGTGTGTCAAGTAGATTCCGTGAGATTTGCCATCCTCATGTGTTAACGTAAGGTGATGCTCTACACTAAAACATTTTATTTGAAATTTTTTACTTCAGAATTATTTGCTTTTAAGTACGTTTTCGTGTTCTTATCTATCTTTCCATCTATACCAATACAAAATAATTGTGACTTTTCTTCTGAATCTGCATTTTTTGAAATTACTTTTACTTTTGACTTAGCTCTGTCTAATTTACACTTATCCATTAGAATATTATTGATGTCAACTTCCGGTAACAATAGATGCTTGCTATCATGGAGTAAGGCGTTTCCAAGTGCTGCGCCGAGATTTGAAGAACATCCAGCTCCATAGCATATCTTGGAAACTTTTGAATACTATAATCTGCCTGAGTTCTTTTACTCGGTTGCCATTCATCATGTTCGTTAAGTTAAAAATTAAAAATATTTATGATAAACGATTTTATTATTAACAAGTGTTAAATATATAAATTAAAATACCTGAGGTTTTATAATTTCAGATGTGCATTCTGGGGGATCTGGTAATGAACCTGAAACCTCATTATTAATATGTTTGTGATGTGATATATTTCCTTCCTTCTGCCTAATCCTGTTATTGTGTTTTAAAGCAGACGTATCTACTGAAGACATCTGGTATAGACCTTTTGGTCCTGTTTTTAAACGCTGGTCTCGTATATAAACTCTTTCTTCTATTGGGACCTTTGCTTCTTTAAAGCATATGCAAATAATGTGTTCCGTTTTGCATTTTTCTTTTTTGCACTTTACATGAAACAATGTCCAATGAACAGCAACAAGCAGATATGTCAAAAATTTTATCTAGTTTAGAATCCAGAATTCGTTTGATATTTGCTTTTGAATGTTTACGATTTATGTTTTTTACAGTTGCAAATAGATTTTTAACTTTTGTTTCAATAGATTTATCGTTTATTAAAGGCAACCGTGGATTGACAGAAAACCATATAGATTTTAAAACACATGAAACACGCTTAACAATTGCCCAAAAGTTTGGCTCAATGTCAGAACAATCTAGAAAGTAATAAAATTGAATTAATTGTCTGTATGTGCTTGGATCCGTTGTAACTAAATCACAAGGGCAGCCTCCATAATTCTCTTCACTTTTCAATCGCGCAAAGGGCCTTTTTTTATTTTTTGCATTTTTATTTTTTAAAACTCAATACTTTGTTCATATTATCATTACGAGACATATAAAGTATTTGCAATAAATTAATAACACTTTATTAAAGTACTAAACGATTTAAATTCGCACAAAATAAAAACTTGTTAACAATATTTATACAATTAGTAAAACGTGCTTATTGTTCACTTAAATCTATTTTAACTACATAATGTCATTCTACAAAAATAAATAGGACGAATTAAAAAGTACATTTTAAGAAATATTTATTAGCCGCTTATAAATTTGATTTTTTGGCGTTTTAAATGTTAAAAGCAGTAAAGAGGCTTTACTAAAGACTACGAAACTACGAAGTGAAATATTGTTTACAAACAAAATACAATACATGCGTGCTTTACAAAACAAAGAAAAATAAATTTTTTGAAATAGCGAAAAGTTTTTAACGAAGTATGCAAATCCCAGAGCCTTCGAGAGCGTCATTGGCGCCCGGGTCAAAAATGAAGAGCGACGCCCTTAATTCAAACTAATTAAAGAAATTAAAAGTTTTGCAGCAGTTGCTATATATATATGCTATATATATATATAACTGCGTTATATATATATAGCATATATATAACGCAGCAGTTATTTGTTTCTAATACAGCACTTTGTACTTTTGCGTTACTATTAATTCTTAATAATACCATTAATTGAGAAAACTATTAAAAAATTAATCAACGAAACCATTAAGAAAGGTAAAAAAGGCACTTAAAAACAAACTTTTTGAGCTTTTATGGTCGCCCAAATAATGATGACATTGTCGTAGCTAACCTTTTTAGCCAAAATCTTCTTTAATCAAAATAATCAAATATTAAGTAACGCGATCCTGGCCCATGGTCGAAGGAGAGTTTTTACAATTTTTAGTTTACTAAACGATTGTTCACCCTCAGCAACTGACTTAGGAGTAGTGTTAAAAATCCAGAAAATGATACAACTGTATGAAAAAAAAGCGTTTAAGCTTCTTCTACAAGATTAGATCGAATTTCGCGGAAATTATTAAAACGGCAAACTTCTTAAATGAAAATCTTTTTGTTTACATCTCTCAGATAAAGTTAGCTACAAATACAGTCTCTTAGAAAATTCGTAACCAAGTGTCCCTAATCCGTTTAAGATTTTCAAGTAGCTGTCCAATCAAATGTAGATCATCATTAATGGTAATGGCTGCAGATTGTAGAAGAAGACTGACAGCTACTCACTGGTCAAACATAGATTTTCACGACATGTTTAATAGCTGCCAACATTTCTCTTGGCAAGTGGTTTGATCAAGTCGAAAAGAGAGCTCCATGTTGTCATAGAAAGTCCATGCAGTAAAATCCAAGTTGCTTCAGTGAGAATTTTCCATTGAAAAAACTAAAAACAAGTACCAAGATTCGGCATTTTTAAAGAATACTTTGATTTCAATTACTGATTCAACTGCGTACACATCAGCCAAATTTAGATTGTGAGCGCTAACGGGCACGTACAGAGCTTAATAAATTCGCAAAAAATTTTACCTTATTAAGGCTTGAGCTTCTTTGTAAACACCTGACATAATGGTCCCACTATCGTGTCCTTGACCTCAACATTTTCGAACATTCATTCTCAGCCTTAAAACTAATTAGTGGTTAGTTTAGCTATATCAACTTCTTTCTTCATCTGAAAAGTTTCAACACACAAGTATTGTTCTTTGATTTTCCAGCAGTTAGTTTCTCTTCCAGAGAAAAAGAGGAGAAAACGAATAACAAAGATTCTCTGCTCAGTATGAGATACAATCAACTATGATTGTGAAGTAGATGCCATTCTGGATTTCTTCGAAAGCTGCACTTTAGCTGGATTGATGCTGCTTCACACGATTTATTGAGCAGCCGTGGCGCAGTGGTTAGAGTTCTGGCTCAGAAACTAGTGGTCCGAGGTTCGACGCCGGCTCCAGCCCAATAAGCGACATTGGGAAGGAAGGAGGCGAAAATTTCTAGTTAAATGGTCCCCCGCGTTATTCCGTGATAAGACCGTAAGGACTTCTAGGAGCACCTAAATAGCCTAAAAAAAAAATTATGAGTTTCCTCCATTGATCCCTAGTTCCTCTGTTCTAAGAAAGAAGGGACAATTACCTACTTTTGAAAACTGCTTTTGTGCTGGGTTTTTAAAAGTTAATAAAGTTTCTCGTTCTGACTCTGATGATTAACTTTGAAATTCTTTATCTCAGATTTAGGGAAATTTTTTGAGCCCTCTACTGATCCACAGTTCTTCAAACCACGCATATTGAGTGTAGTAAATTACACGTATTGAGTGCAGCAAAGATGCAAAAACTCAAATATTTGATAACTATTCGGGTGCTGGTAGTGGCAAAGTTGCTTATTTGTCTAGAAAATGCAAAGCTCTGATTCTTTTACTTCAAAGACAAATACTACCTAAAAGAGTAGCGCTTTTATCGTGAAATCGACAATAAATTCTCGTGTGTTTTTTTTTTTTTGCAAGAAGTTGAAGCGAACCCATGGAGCGCATTACCAAACGAAGTTTTCAGTTCTATTAGTGTTGACTGCTTCAAAGCGGTATTTGATCAGTTACCATTATAATTACCACATTGCATCATTTTCCAAACAATCAAGCATGAGCTAGCATTGCTAACTGTTTACAGGCTTACGGAATACGCCCGCTTCCATCTAATTCTACTTCAATATATTGTATTTTTTTCGTAAAAAATAGTTTAAAATTAATTATAATAATAGCATTTTTATTCCGAATACTAAAACTTTAATCTCAAGTACAAAAACTTTATTATTAATTTTATTACTAAAAATTATTAATTTAAAACACTTAAGTTTGCTATTTTCGTTACTTACATATAAATATCCAACTTTATATTGTTTAGCGGTACTTACATACCAAAATCGACCTACCCTTATATATATGTATATATATATATATATATATATATATATATATATATATATATATATATATATATATATATATAGATATATATATATATATATATATATATATATATATATATATATATATATATATATAGATATATATATATATATATATAGATATATATATATAGATAGATATATTAGTATATATGTTTAATCAAATATAATAATTTAATATTTATATTAAATAAATAATAAAATATTTGCTTCTAAATAAAATATTGTTTGAAACAATTTGTTAAAAATATTTTAAGAGTCTTCAGCATTTTTTCATAATATTTTATGTTAATAAATTTTAAGTTAAAATATTTATGTTTTTTAGGATCTCTGAGAAAATACGCTTCTTCTGAGACACAGTTTGCCATACTTTTAAATAATTTTTTTTGACAATATTAGGGATTTTATCCCAAATGTTAAAGATTTGCACCCTAATGCATAACTTGACGTGATGGTAAACAATGAATTGCGTATTTGAAATCAAATTGAGAAATGCTCTACAAAAATTGAATTGTTTGCTCGACACAAGAGAATTTTTTTGGTTGTTGTTGACTTGTTTAATTTACTATTACTATGTTAAAACTTGAAAATATAGATCATTCATTGGTCATTTAGTAATTTTGACTTAAATGGAAATAAAACTTTTGTAACGTTATTTTTTTTGTTAAAAAAAAAAAAAGCAAAACAACGTTATAATACTTTTATTATTGTAGATTTTCATATTGTTGAAGCCATCCTAAATTTTAAGTTTTTTTAAATGAAATATTTTGATTGTCACAATAAAAATGAAAGTAATTTTTTACCAATTTTTCTTGTAGTTACTGTATTTTTTTTAAAGGAAGCAAAACGTTTCAATTAAGAAAATAACTAATTCCTATTTAGGAAACTATTTAGTTTGAATGAAAAAATGGTATCTTGAAAAAAATTTTTTCAAGAAGTTTTGTCAAGAACCATTTTGTTTCTCCAAGAGACTTAACTCCCAATAATAATGCAATCAATGACGTCAAACTATGGTTAAAATTCATAGTTAAACCATCTTCGTTTAAAAAAGATTGCCACCTTTTCTCTACCTAAAGTAATAAAATTAAAGTTAATTTAAACATTTTTATTTCATATCTTTAATTTTCGTGGAAATCTCCGTAAACAATAAACCTGATTTTTAAAGACCGTTAGCTAAAAAAAACAAACAAATAAAGTTGTTTCTATTTTATCAACAAATATATTTATATGCTTGTCATTATGCCACCTATTGGTATAATTATTCTAAAGGCTGTGTCTGTTTATATTGATTTTTACTTAAGAACATTAGTTACATAGTATTTAATGTAGCTTACATAATACTCAATGAAATTACATAATACTCAGCACATGACTTTTTTTATTTTTTATTTTGAGCCATTGATCAATGTTTTAATTAAAAAAAAAAAAAGAAAGCACAACATACCATCACCACCTCAAAAAATTTAATTCGTATTTATTTTCCAAATGCGCCTTTACATAGTCATCACAAAATGTATTCAATAAACATTTACCCTTTGTTTAAATAATTTCAAAACTTTAAAAGTAATGCAACATACATAAAAAAAGCAACAACAACAAAAAAAAAGCACCAAAACCACATTGCTCAAAAAAAGTAATGTCAGCAAACAGTTAAGGTTGAATAGCAAACAGATTGTATTACACAATAAAGAACTTTCGTCATTTTACTCATTAACAAATTTGATTAAACTTGTCATGAGTGACATATTGTTAAACCGTTATAAATCTTTTTAACTTCAAACATTTGCAGAACCTTATTTTTGTTGTAACTTGTTTTTATTGATTATCAATATATTGTTGTTAGAACTTGTTTTAAGATAAAAAAAATTTACCGTTAAAGTTTATTTAAAGTATATTTTGAATAAATAAATAATAATAACTGCAAAAAAAAATTTAATAATAACTGCAAAAAAAAATTATAAAAAAAGGAAATGATAAGTAAAATGTAAAATCAATAAATTCTAATAGCATTCCATGCCAAAAGAAATCCATTCATTTTTTTAGATTTAAAAATAACAATAACAGAACAAATCAAAAACAATTATTTATAATTTTTAAAGGTTTCTAAATAGCATAGTTTTGGATAATGGTCAAAAGACTCATATTACCCACCTTAGTGAGGTTATATAGATTTACGTCAAAATTTTGAAATCTTTTCTATAAGTTTAAAAACCAACTCATTGAAAAGTATGACTGGAAATACTGAGTATGTATCCAATTTAAAATCATTTGAAAAGTTTAAGCACAATAGACTAGCAAATACAAAAGAATTTTGTATTTGCTGAAGGTAACACTTTTAAAAGATCAAAGTAGAATTTCCAAATTAGTAATTTTTTCCAATGAAAACTATTTCTTATAGAATATAAAGCTTTCTTGCGATTAAATTACTACAATTTTTTTCACTTTTAAATTAAATATTTCATACTCACATCGGAACTCTCCGTGTTTTATCTATTATACTTGCATGTTTTATATATGATTCTTCCATGTTTAATATGTGATACATCTATGTATAATATGTGATGTAAAAGTTTATGCAGTTACATAAGTTCTTAGCATAGTAACATTTTTTTAAATGGAAAAAAAAATTGTATAAATATAAATTGTACTCAAGTATAAAATAAAAATTAAGCATAAATAACTCAAAACAAAACAAAATTATTGTAACAAGATAAATTAATTAAAAGTGTTTTAAGATATTTTCAATAGAGATAATAGATAATAGAGAATTTTTTTTAACTTTTTTTTAAAAAACAGGATAAGTTAGAGGTAAGCCAAAATTGGGAAAAACATTTTTTTTCTAGAAATGTGTTGCGTGATAAGTGACACAAGTTTGATTGGAAATAGTTAAAGAAATACCATGTTTCTCGGCAATAAAAAAAACATCGGAATTTGTTTTTATCAGTGCTTCGCCAAGTAGTCTATTTAATAATACTGAACTTAATAGTAGTGCCTGTTTGACACAGAACTCTTGGCAGCCATTGCAAACGAGGTAATGGCGAGAAAAAGTTGCAGCAGATTAGTTTATAAGAAAAGTGTATGCAAATATCTAACGTGCGTAAACTTCAAATTAATGCTAAAAGATACTAAAACATATATCAACAACATAAAAAACATATATCAAGTTTTACAGTTTTACTATCACTTGAAAACTGCATTTCGTCCTCTGCATTTTGATCTATAGCATTATTTTCGTTAAAAAAAATTATTATTTAGTTTTAAAATTGCGTAAGTCAATGCGCCTGCGTGGCCGAGTGGTTAGCGTACAGAGCTTTTGAACAATCAATTCCAGGTTCGCGTCTACCACCAGCGACTTTATTTTTTAATTTTTCAAGATTTTTTAAAGTACAATATACTTGTGAAGTTTTATAAAGATTATATACAAACATATGTAACAATACGCATTAATAAACCTAAAGATTTTTAAAAAAGCTGAAAATTATACGTCATGATTGAGATACTTATGATTGTTTTACATTTAAAGATTTTTTACTACTGAAATGAGTTTGTGAAAGGAAAATTAGTATAAACTACATATTTATATATAAAATTTATAGAACTATAAAGTTGTTTTGTTATAGCATTTTAAATAACAACAATTAAATAACAGGCAAACTGACGATGATTTGCGGGGACCTCAACTTTTTTTTAAACAATAATGGGATTTTAAAAGTTTAATTTAAACATAATTGAAAATTCTAATTATACATTTAAAATAAACCATTTTATTAACTTTTTTATTTTTAAAAATAATTAAAAGTTTTTAATATTGACATAATAAGAAAATTGTATAGTTTTATAGCTTTTTTACCACGCCCCAGTTAAACATTCTAAACTGAGTGGCCAACAACGAAAGAATTTAAATCGCCACCAAAAAGAACTTAAGATCTTCTTTTTTCAAAATAAATTGAGCGTTGCGTAATTTATGGACGTTCCGTTTGCGTTTTATAGTCTAAATTTTTTAATGGTCTAAGGTCATTTTAGTTCTGCCATTTCTATAGCGTTGCGTACAAACGTCTGTAAGTATAAACGTCTTTAGCATATGTTGAGTTTGCAGACAGTATATGGAACAATCACGTTTAATAAATGTATAAAAATGCAAAAAAATTTATTTTAACAATTAAAAAACTTTTTCGCTATACTATTATTTTTTTGCCATAAATATTGCTATAATGTTATAGATATTTACTATAATAAAAGTTTTGCTATAAATATTACTATAAATACAGCAAGATTAAAAAATATTCACAATTTATTGGGGGAGGCTTTGATCCCTCAAAGCGATACTGATTACAGCGCACTAAACCACTGAGCTATCAATGATATGCAAAAACAAACCTTATTATAAATCTCTTATAAGCTTTAGGTATGCGAAAAAAGTGTGCATTTTAAGTTTTTTGCTCTTAAAACAATTTTTCGAAATGAATTATTTTACATAAAAATATTTAAATAAAAAATAATAGGTATAGAAATGATCGGTGTGAAATACATAAGTATAGAAATAGCAGGTTTAGTAAAGACTCGTATTTTATGGGTCTGGAAAGCTAGGATATATTTATAAAGAAAAATAGACTTACAAAAGCCCGTATTTTTACGGGTCAGATCAGCTAGTAACTCTATAATTTATATAACTATGAATAAAAGAGTAATATGGTTTTGTTAATTTTTTTAAAATTCAAAAACCTCTCACCATAAAAATACCGATGCTTTGATACTTAAGCAGACATAATCAATTTGGTAGACATGATCAATATGGTGTTTCCAAGTAGTGTTCTCGTCAATAAAATTACCGAGGTACTTAATCACCGAATCTTTTTTAACTTCAATTAAGTCAATAAGAATTTTCTGTAAATTTGAGGGTAGAAAACGTTTTTTATAGGGCGGGTGGAAAAGAATCTATTTAGTTTTGCTTGCATTTAATGTTAACTTGTAACATTTAAACCGTTTAGATTTCAGTTTCATTTTTTATCGCTAGTTTAATATCTATTTTTCATAAAAAAGTGAAAAAAATGTAACATGATAAAAAAGACCATCTATTATCTACCATCTTGGCAACCATATATAATGATTGTCGATTCTTTTATAAAATTCATTTGTAAAATAAGGTTTAAATCCAATAATATTTTTTTAATTAATTATCCCGCAGTGCTTTAGTTTATCTAAGAGGATGCAGTTGTCTACTGTATCAAAAGCTCTTGATAAGCCCATATATAATCCTAAAGTAATTTTGTTTTGTTTAACACAACCAGTTATTTAACAGACTATTTCAATGATTGCATACCTGGTTAAAATGATTGCATACTCAGTTGAAATGATTACGTGCTCAGTTAAAATGTTTTTTTAAAATCTAAACTGATTTGAGGTAAAAAAATTATGTGTAGTGAAGTGATCATTGGTTCTATTATAAACTAAACGTTTGAGAAATTTTGAAAATACTGAAAGTATTATTATAGGTCTATAAACCGAAATCTCGGAATTACTTTTACTAGTTTAGGTACATCAGAAAAATTCTTAGAGGTTATTAAGGGCTTCAATATGTGAATCAGAGGCTTGCTTAGATTGACTTCGATTGCAACAACTAATCATTAGATATTCCATCGTTATTTGGTCCCATTTTTAATAAAGAAATCAAAAAGGCTTCTTCAAATTCTTTATAGCTGAGTTCAATATCGTATAAAATTACATGATAGCAGCATTTGCGTTTTCCCCTACCATGAAGAAGCCCTACCGTGGTTTTTGAAAAAATGAGTAAATTTTTAAAGTGTTTTTCTTTTCAATATTATTTTAGTATTGTTTTGTATAAAACAATGTGTACGCTAACTTTCTGTATAAGTGGCTTTCTTGTGACAGCTATGTAGGTATTATAAGGATCCGTGCTAACCGTAAATAGCTGTCCCAAGAACGCCACTTATACGGAAAGTTAGCGTACACATCAAGGTACCCTGTAATGCAAATTTTGAAATAATTTAATTTTGTCCGCGGAAAATAATTTAATTTGAATTTTCAAATTAAGTCAAATTTTGACTTCATAGTGCGCCAATAAAAACACTTGTAGAATTTCAACCACTCAATATAATTTGATAAAAATTGCTGCAAATGTAGTCATTAGTCACACCAAACTCTGGACAAAATTTCAGCCTGATTAAATGACTGGTGTAGGATTTATTGCAGTTTTAGTTGAAGTTTTGTCAGTTTTTTGTTACTTATACCTCAAAGCGTTACCGATTACTTTGAACTTCGGTCACTATTTTTAAAATAACGTTTACATAAGTATTCTACTAAGTAATACTAACAATTTTTGTTATAATTATTTTATTGGTACATGTACAGTTTTCATTTTATAGATCAAAATAGTGATTTGCTACTTAAAGCGTGATTTCAATAGTCTTATGCTAATAGTGTCGACACAGCTTGTAAAGTGGAGGAGGTCAACCCCTCAATTTCTAAAATAAAATCCATAATTTCTAAAAGAATTGCCTACATTTCTAAAACAAAAGATCCTCGCAAAAAAAAGTAGAGAAGGACGTGACCCTTTAGCCTCCCCGGCGTTGCCGGCCATGTATGCTTCGCTTGAATATACCAACATTTCCTAAGGT